GTAGTAGTAGTAGTAGTAGTAGTAGTAGTAGTAGTAGTAGTAGTAGTCATGGTGGTGGTTGTTGTTGTTGCCGGGATCTCTTTCTCTTGCTCTTTCTCTGGAAGAGGAAAAGACGAAGAGCAAGCAGATACACCAAATGCAATAATGCACTTTAGTGCACGGCCACTCGGGCAGTATATCTCGCACCACGGGCCCTGAAAAAAAACAGCTATGTTGATGCCATCTGGGTACCCGCCGAACCTCATGTCGACAAAAGTGCCTCTGTCGACGCTCTCCTCAGTGGCCTGCGAGGTTCCATGTGACCTAAAGGTATAGGCCTTGTTCACGGGAGGTTGTTCACGGGTTGGACTGCTCGGGCTCCAGGTGGGCCACGACATAGCCCCAAATACTCTGAACATCCGCAAGACGACGCTTCCTACTTACACCTCACTTGGGTGGCCAAGCTACCTGGTGGTTGCTCAAGCTCGCTGACATGCTTGGACTGCTCTCCAACCGGCCACGACCGTCCGCACCGACGTCCACACCGGTGCAGGACGCCAAGGCGGGCCTCCGAGGCGCCAAGACGGTGCTGGTCCCGGGCCCGGTGGGCGGGGACGGTGGCGTCAAGTGCTTGGGGATCACGGAGGGTGTGGGGAAGGCAGTGCCGTTTGGGGGGACGGACATGGACATGACCTTGAGATATCTTGAGTCAATTGAGTGTCCAGTCATGACTGGTTTTTTAACATGCTTTAATTACCATTCGAATACGTTCGTATGATTCCCAGGTGAAATATGTTCCAGTCAAAACGGAAGTTTTGGGTTGGTGAGATCACTGAACTTCCAGTTCTGTACAATGTTTCACAGGGCACACATCGTCCATGACACACGTCGCCTTGTGGGAAATTTTACGGGAAGACAGTGGCTGTTGCCAAGAAGTGAGCTAGGCTTGGTTTTGCGTATGGGTGATTTGCTTTCCCGAACTGGGTGAATTCGTTCTGGGGAATATGATGAAGTATTGTGTTTTCGTACTTTTTTCCGGCTCGTTTTTGCAAACTCAAGTAAGTAGGGAAACGATTCAAACAGTTGGCCTATCTATATAGATGACATCTCGAAGTCATCGCATGTGGAAATCAGTGTTTTCGTTCACCCAGGCTCTTTGTGTGGCCGTTCGGCTCTTCCACGTAACCAATGTGATCTGTTCATCATGACATCTTTTTCCACCCGGAAGATGATATGGGTGTGTATTTTATTAGGAAGACCCCTTGGCCCCATGGGTAGACTGGTCTGAATCCTCTTCTTCCATGCAGGAGGTCGAACTGGGAAGTCCTCCTATTTTAGTAGACATCCATTATAACCAGCACCCAGACGACTTGTTGATCCACATGGTTTGATGGTTTTTGGACACAATTGCCCGCCCCCAATACCCGGTTACGCGAAGTATTCTTCGCTTGCTGGCCTTCAGATGCCTGGTCTCCTGCAGTGAACACCATGGGTGTTCCATTGGGTTTGCTTGGTTTCCTCAGATCTTCCGAAACAAAGACAGCAGCTCGAAACAGTTCAGTTCAGATAGCTTCACATCTCCGCAACATGCATCTCCGATCTCCGTGCGGAGCCTTCCTCGAGGTCCGAACTGAACGAGCCAATCGCCAGCTGAGGTCCGCAAGGGCATCACCAAAGAGGCCTGTGTCTTACGAGCGAGCCACGCGATTCGAGCACACAAATCGGAGGGATCGGAGGGATCGTGGGATCTGATTGACACGGGTGACGACTTCCCCGAAGGCACCCCCCACTGACCAGGTCAGGTCTCGATGAAGCACTGAGCTCAATCCATGCTTGAGCAGCTCAATCCATCTTGGGAGTCCGCTTGTTGGTGCATCATGACATACCCAAAGGCTCATTGGACCCTCAGTTCGCTAGGGTCTTGGACCTCAAACATGTAGCAGTTGACATATCATGACTCATCCATAGCACGATGTTCTTAAAGGAGATAGACGATAGCTGTGCGCAGCTGGCGATGCAAGATTATGACTTGGACCACGGGACCGTTCGTCTGTAGAACTGTGCTGATCTTCAGGGCGGCTTCCAGCTGTGGCACATATCAATGACATGTATCGCCCCCCCTCCCCACCAAGAAGCAGACGTAAAGAAGATGAAACCCTCCAGTCCGGCACAGCAGGGAGTGAATCAATTCTGTCAGTTCAAGAGGCCGGAAGTGACTGCTCAGCTCCAGATCGGGGCTGATTCAGATCCTCCAATGGAACAGGTTGGCCGTTGACCTCTTCTTTTTCTTTGCCCTAAGAATGCTTGGTTTCTCCATGGCAGGTGTCTGGACCCTCAAAACCTTGCCTCGATTGGTAGGGTTCTTTATTTCTTTATACTGCCCTTGTTACTAGCAGCGATGCACTTGTTACTACGTAGCAGCGATGCACTTGTGACCACCTCCGAAAAGCGTCGCTCCAGGCAGTGAAGAGGGCCATCACCAACAGCCGAAGTCGCTACGTGGTGGACGCTCCAGGCGCCTGCGATGGAGCTGCTGTCCTCAACTCGTGGAACCCATCCCAGATGATCCCACTGGCGCGACAGTCTCGCCTACCAGGAACAGGGACATCCTGTCTGGGTCACCTAGCTGGACTACCCTCCACTACTGTCTGGGATCTCCAGCGACACCCAGACAGGATGGTCCAAGTATAGGTTTGGTTTTTTCTTGGTGGTGCTGCTACCTACCGATCGCTGGAGAAGATGCTTTTGCGAGTTGGGTATCAGAGGAGGCAGCTCTTTACACAAACCGTGAACGAGATCAGCTAGGAGTGCCAGCTCTTAGGGTCCAAGGGGGATTCAACACTTTCGTTTTTCTTGAAGGGTATTTAAGTTTCACTTCTAGCTGGCGGCCACAGACCCCGGACAGCTTCGAAGTCAAAAAATAGCAAAGTTCCACTTGAATTGGTCAGATTACATGGGTGTTGTGCTCAGCCCTAGACTGTTTTTTTTTGTGGCTGTTTTTGTCCGATACTCTCGCGGGGAGGCTGATTATGTACATGGGGAACCCGTGGAGTAACTATTCAGGGAGTTTTACTCCGTGCATGTGAAACCGATGGATTTTGTTTGGAAGGGTCCAGGCTGCTCTGGTCCTCTCTGCTCCTTGCTTCCGGGCCTCTGCTTGGTTTTTTACGGCTCGAATCGCCTTGCAGCGTCGGTCGTGTGGGGCGCGCGACACGAACGACAAGAAGTGGTGGATGATGTCGAAGGTCATCTCCGCCATTTGGATGAGATGGTTAGGGCTGGGTAGAGCTGTTGTATCCAGGAGTCTGCCTCCCTCTTGAGTTTTCAGGTATGCCACCTCCACATTGGCTTCTGTACCCTTATTCTTGCACAGATTGCACAGATCCTACTGCTCAGTGTTGCGAAATCCCTTCGTGAAATTGCGTTGCTGGTGGTAGCGTTACCCTGAGAGTCAAGAGAGTCTTTTTGACTCTCAAAATTCATGGTCTGACGAAGAGGGTATTGTATTAGGTACCTGGAACTTCCGACTTCACTGGGGCAACATCTCCCCTAACCTTGAAAGACCACTTTATCCAGGCATCGTTGGCCTGGTTTTGTAATGTAAAAATCCATAAAAGTCCTTAAAACACAGGGTTGGACGGAATCGCAGGGTCTCCGTTCTCCTCGACTTCTTCCAAACAGACGTGAGTCTCCGTCCCTGACATGGGAGGCCGCAGTTCGCACACCCCGCGGTTCGCGTCGAGGGACTCACCGGAACTGCATCACCTCATCGTTCCACCATCGAAACGAGCGGAAGACGGCCATGTCGGCTGATGCAGAAAGCTGCGCAGACATGGAGCGTAAACACCGGGGTTGAAAAAAGATACAAACAACAATAATAAAAAAAAGAAAACCAACTTTATTCTTCTATGCCCGGCAGCTTCGGTAGTTGCGAATCAGAACTTATGAGATCGGTTGTTTGTCTTCATGACGGTCCGGGCGATCGATGGTCCGATGGGAATGGATCACACCGATCACTGTTGATCCGTCTCAGTTGACGAATGCTGTTCTATTCAGTGAGCAGGTCAGTTCTAACATGTTCTATAGATATATACCTTGGCTTTGTCCTGTTAGTAACGGTCGGTACACAATTATCACTGTATAGTTAGAGAAAGGCCTGCCACCTAACCATCATCATCCACTGTTCTTGGGAATGAAATAAAGCCCAATCTATTACAGCAATATATTCTATTACCAAAGATTTCCAAAGAGGTTCAGTGAAAAAACTGTGAAAAAACAGTGAACAAAAACTAGCGCGATTCCCCAAGGGATCCCAAAAGCCTCTCACACACCAAACTAGGCGAGACCCCTTCCAGGTCAACACTCCGAAATCGCATCGCTCGTCGAAAGACGAGCTTTGTTCTGAGGCCCGGGAGGCGATCGAGCTCATTCAAGATGGTAGCACCGTCGCCACCGGCACCTCACCATGCATCCGAATTGGGTGGTGCACTCATGGGCTTGGTGGGTGACAAGTATGTGTCAAACTTGGTGTGGGGAATGGGGTTTCTTGCTGGGTGGTGGCGACTGCACAACTACTGGCTTCTTAGAAGGATTATATAGATGTACACCAATGGTAGTCAGTTTATGGCTACCATAGTTATTGTTTGAAGTACAGTACAACCTCTTGTTTCTTTGGTTTCTCACATCGCTTCGAACTGCCAACCAGCCAGAAACGCCCGTTCGCGTTCGCTCCGTTACCTCGCCGCGTCGTTCGCTCCGACGTAACCGCTTGAGGTGTAGCGAAGCCGTTGCAGCGTTGCAGGTATCGACTTAGTTCTGGGCACAGCCGGCACGGCCCGACTTAGTTCAGACTCTTCCCTTCACTTCGACATTCATATGTACGAACGCATGCCACTAGGCAGACCCCCGAAAATCATGAAGACACGCGTTGTCCATGACACTTGTGTCTTCATGGATCACCTGGGAGTCCGTTTTTCATGGCTGCATGCTCGTAGGTTTGAGACGGTTTGAGACACATCCAAACACCTAACATAATTCTCCAACCCATGACTATCGTTAGGTTGGAGGACATCGCTCCTAGGCTGGAGGCACTGCTTTAGGCACTGCTTTCGTAGATCCACCGATCCCTGCTCGCTCAGCTGGCTTCTTGGGCCTCGTCTTCCCGGAAGACTTGGCCATGGAGTTGGAGCGCCAGTTCCTGGAGACTGGCCATCCCAGCCGCTTGGTGCCACGGTGCGTTCCACGCGGCGTTGGGCGTCGGTTTTGGGGGGAAAGGCAGCACTTGTTTTATGCCAGAGATGGTGGGGAATCAGAGTGCAGGAGGCAAAAGGTACACCAGAAGCATCCAGAACGTACGTCTATTTTATTTGTTCTTTTTGTAGTTCGATACATATTCATATCTTCCCTACGAGTCAGGTAGATCCTGTCAAACCTGTAGTGTTTTTTGGATGGTTTCACCTACCACTTGGACCATTAAGCCTCTTGTTTTGGCCATCGTCCGAAAACAACCATGAAACAAAACGGTCTTGACTTGACCGGCGTAGTTAGGAGCCGGACCACTGCATGTGGTTCTTGCGGATGGATGGACGATGGGATAAATGGAGGACAAACTGATAAACTCCTCAAACATTAGCACCAAACACAGTCCAATCTCCATCAAAGACCCCACCATAGTCAAACCACTCACACCAATCACACAGACTCCGGACTGTTATTCACAACCAGCAAGGGGGGGAACACATGAAATTGAACAATGGAGAGGTGTTCACTGTTCACCTGCGCCATCACATGATCATCTGATCATCCCCTCTCTTTTTTGTGCAATCCAGATCTCCCTGGAACTAGATAACCCCTGACCCACCAAAGCGCAGATCACCGGCTAAATACCGGTCTGAGAGCGTCAGGCGAGAGCGTTTGAAGCTCATTCTGCCTTTGCGTCACAAGAAAAATCCGCCGCGGAACCACCGGCAAACACCCGAGGTCGCCGGTCGCCGGTCGCCCCGCCCGGGTTTGTCGGGTCTCTCGATCGACACGGCCCGTGTGTGGCATCGCCGACCGCTTTCGCCGCGTTGCGGCGCCGCGGCTGGGCGAGGAGATCTCACCTTGATGTACGCGGCCGGGCAGGGCGACGGCGCCTCGAAGGGCGTGAATCGCTTCAGCGCTCCGGGCTTGGTGAAGCGGGTGATCGGCGGCCATTGGGGCTTGGTGCCTCGGCCAAACCGAGGCGTGGCGGTTGTTCGGCCGGGATGAGGCGGGGTGGGGAACAGTTAGGGTGGGGAGTTATAGTGGGGGAGTTATATGGTGGTTTCAGAGTGGTAGATGGCACCATCTCCAAGTTTGGTGGTTCAAACACGGATTTTTGTCTACTCTAAAACCACTGTTTAACAGTGGTGTGGGGTGGGGTGGGTGGTTTTGGAGTGCTGTGGGTTTGTTTGGAGGGGTTCGGTGATTATTCCGAGTACAGTCTAATTGGAGATGGCAAGAGGACTGGTTGCTCCACAAGCATTCAGTTTGGGTTCCTCCAAGAACAGTAGCTTTTGATCTCGGAGTTGTCATGAAGACTTGAGGGATGAGAAAATGCCTCCAGAAACTGTTTCATGCCTTGGTCCTCCACTCTGAAGAACATCACTTCTCGGGGGGTCTTTAGGACGCCGCATGGCGCCGCTATCCACTTGTTTTCTTTTGGACATGGATCTCTTTCATTCAAACACGATTAATTCAGGGACATGGTAGCAACACCAACCTCCAGCTTTGAACAGTTGCAGCAGGGGGGGTTCGACAGAAGGAGACGGAGCCCGTCATTGAGGCTCAAGGCCCCTTGATCATCCTGTAAATTTAAAGGTTCCAACACAAATAGACGAGTGCGTCCCGCCATAACGCATAAAGAGGGATTCGAAGGTGAAAAAACTGTGAAACATATTGAACAATAATATTCTTGAAAATTCGCTTACAGCATCCTACAGCCTTTCATCATGTACTCCCACCCAAACGTAACTCTCACGCCTTTGACCTTTCGAGTTTGGAGAAGTCTTGTTTTGATTGTTTTAGGAGAAGCCCCTTCGTCGACGAGGCACCTTAGGAGCTTTGGGTTGGAGGAAGTGATTTCAACACTGAAACCGAACCTGGAGGATCCCATCAGGACTGTCACCATCGGAACCAGGACTTCTGGCGCTCACCAGTGGCTACCAGCTCTATAGTGATTTACCTTGAGTCCTTTGGATGTTGACCCGGGCCCCATCCTCTACCCGCGCCCCATCCTCTACCTCGGCTCGCGCTTCTCTCCCAGGTGCCGAAGCTCCAAGCCTTGGCTCTCCAAAATCAGATCGAGGCCTACAACCTCCCGCAGGGCGTGCGACTCGGACCGGCGGAACGAAAGCCACCGACGGGTCCAACCGACGAAGGGGAGTCGACTCCGATGACCCCGATCGACCAAGCGGACTTGGGGGTTGACTTGTGGTCAAGAACGGTGTTTTTTCTGCACAAGTTCTTACACAAAAAAAAACAGTTTCAACACAAGTTCTTGCACTGTGAACAACTGTTTCTGCACAAGTTTTTTTCTCAAGTGTGATCGTGACCTTCATGCCACAGAAGCCCCACACACACTTGAAAAGCCGCTGACAACACGAATGTCTGCCAGGAGATCTGGACCTCTCAGCTGTGATTAGTTGCGATCAAGGCAGTAGTGAATCAGTTGTAATCAAGGTGATGTTTGATTAGTTGTAATCAAAACTCTAGTAAATCATTGACTGTTTTTTTTTGAACACAAAGCAGGGACCCACTGGACAGCGTAATCAACAGATTAAACAAACACACGAACCACCACAGATACCTTTTCACCCAGGTGGGGAGTTGTCTTCGTTGGCCGGAGACCCCCCACCTAGCTCTGGCCCCCTGCGCTTGGTTTAAACAATTGCCCTGGCGTCTTTGCTATCAGACTGACGTTCTTTCATTCAGAGAGGCACAAAAATCCCTCTTTGTTCTGGGACAGCAATCCCACCCGTGCCGACATCTTAGAACCGTTGACCATGTGAGGATGAGGAAAGAACACCTGCAGATCTGAGGATCTCGCAGATGTTCCGAGACATTGCTGCCAAGCGCCCGCGAACCATCAGTAAAGTGGGTTCTTGGGCAGAAGAAAATCCAAGCGCCAGCTGTTAGTGGGTTCCTGCTCAGTTCGGAGAAGACGTGTCTTCTAGCAGGTCGGAGCTGGAGTGTCAATAATGGGTAAAATAGGGCCTCCCAAGGACCTCGGAAGAAGGGACATGTACCAAAATCCGTTGGCTGGGGGCTGGGGGCCTCCATAAAAAGATCCATATGTGATTCAAATTAACAAGGTTCCGAAAGACTCATTTTTCATGGAGCAATCGGGACCTTTTATGTTAAACAATTTGGAAGTGACGAGGAATTGAGAAAGGCCACAGGCTAGACCTGCTAAGGAGAACTGTTTTATATGGTAGGTGTGGGGTTATATATGTTGGTACTTGGCAATATCGTGATGTTCCCCTTCCGCCTGGTTGGCCATCGTTGGTTCGAGGCTTACATACCTTTGTGGATCCTCTCCACGGTGGTGGCCGCTTGAACGCCGCCACCACGGAAGACCTGGTGGAACGCATCCACTTTGACGGAGAGACGTCGCGTGGTTCACGACGATGGACGGAATGGACGGTGGAGACGGTGGACGGTGGACGGTGGACGTGGAGGGATGGATGGTGCATTTTCCGTGAGGATCGGGGGTCGCCATGAACCTGTTGCCTTGAAGCAACCTAGCTGGTGCGGAACTCGAGAGCCATAGGGAGATAGTATATTGAAATTCAATATATATATATATATACCTAGAACCTGGTCGTGAGTCGTGACCTCTATTTTGGACCACCCACCACCCAAAATATGGTCCAACTTCCTGTCAAAACAGAGCTCATGTCTGGGTTCCAGGTATATATGTGGATTGAAACACCTTTGGAGAACATCGTTGGACCCTCCAAACCCACCTGCAGATCCATCCGAACCACCGTGTGAGACGGTCGAATAAAACATGCACTCCCTCGAAGCTCGATGGTGACTTGGATGGCATGGCCCGCGAAAGGACCCAACGAAGATCCGACCAAACAGGTGGTGGTTTTCACAACTCCACATGTCGGTGACTCGGAGTGTAAGCCTAGATGTTTTTTTTCGCCACATTCTAGGCGTCACAGCCTGTTTTTGCATGGTACAACTGGGTGAGACATGGTGAGACGATGCTTTTTTCATCTTTTTTCTTCTCTGTCTGGGCGGCCGCTTGTCACGGAAAGCTTGATCACCTGCAAAGGCCCCTTTTTTTGGGAGATTCGTGAAGCCCCCACACAAGCTCCAACAGTGGGACAGTTCGGTCGAAAGCTTTTCTTTTCTGATGCATTAAGCAAGGGCCCAACACCATGAGGCCTTTTCCAAGCCTAAACTGAGTCTGCACCCCGGTGAACCTTCTGACTCGGGGGTCAGTGCAGGTACTTAGCCTTCAAAACCCGTCCGCTGGATGTGGCCTTCCTGCGCGGCACCACCGCAGATGCTGATGGGACACTGGGATCTGCGGTCATCAAGCGAAATGGGAAGTCCAGAGACGGAGAGCAGATAAAACGGAAGTGGCTGAAAGATGTTATAGCCCTCCTTCTCAGAGATCCACTGCCACCTTCTCAGGTTCGGTACGACTCTCCAGTCGGTATACATGGAGTTTTTTTGCTCACTGCACCGCCCAGTGGATCCGGGTAGAAGCATACCTTGACCCTCCACGCTGGGCGTACTTGGTACTGTTGAGTCGTAGCTTTCACCCTGTTGGAAGATGACAGAACCGTGCTCCGTTCTGTCTGGCATAGCATGGAAGACGAAGTCAGAACCTGACAGAACCAGTTCGTCTCCAGTTCACTGGCAGATTCAGGCCAGCGGAGATTCTTCCTTAAGGGGCCTATGGGTGAACTTCTTCTGGTGACTCTATTCTTTTTCTTGGTTCCTTAACTTTAAGAAGGCCAAGAAGTATGCCTCACTTGCTGCTAAAGTATGTGGTTCCAAGAAGTAGGCCTAGGTTAACTTTTAAGTATGTTCCAAGCTAGGCCTCACTTTGCCAAAGCGACATTGACCCCCCCAAAAGAGGAACCTGTTCTGGCCATCGCATGAATTTGGACCTCCCAACATCGATGATGTTCCACCACATCGACCAGCCATGTTATCCTGGTTTTGCTTTTACTCTTCAGGCGATTGTTTATGTTCCCGAACTGTTATTCTGTTTTCTTCATCCCCTAGCCCCTGGGGAATATACGGTATTTTCTTATTCTTTACCGGTTCCTGGACAGTAAATCCAAGAACATGCTATCACTACTCGTGACATGTTTGGCTTTTGAGGAACATCACTATGGAGACACGGCAGTGGAAGGGGATAGTCGCGACGGCAACTGCTCGCCATGGGTGGCCTCCACCATGATGGGATGGCCGGTGCACATGTTTTGCTTGGAGTGTACACCCGAATCAGTTTATAATGTTCTTCTCTTTTGCAGGATGTCAACACATCACAATTTTTTCTCACATTGTGTCCCCCAGGTGGTGGGACAACTTCATGTGGCTATTTGTGTCATGGACCTATCCCGTTGGATCACAGTCTTCCTCCACTTCAGTGGGTCAAGATGGGTCAAGCACCAAAACAGGAACATAAAAAAGGATCTAAAAGAAGCAACGCACAAACCACTTGGTATTTCTTTTGTATTTTTCAGATCTTCTTCATGTATGTTTGAGACATGGAACCTTGCATATTAGGTGAGTTTTTTGAAAGCTTGCCCGCGTGTGGACTTCTTCTGTGAGTGTCACCTTGCGCATAGAAAACACACACGTGGTTGCTCAGGGTCCCTTGTGACTGCCAAACAATAGGTCAAGAGGTTTAGTGAAACCCTGCTAGCCATCAAATCACCAGCTCACTAAACCTACCAAGACCTGCTGAGGCACATCTGTCTTTTCTTTTCAAGAAAGGGTTCTTGCAGCACCTCACCAGAAAGGCACCATTGAAACGTTTGGGGAAGGACCCTTGGTAGTGTCCCCACCAGTTGGAAGATTGACATGAGGAAAGAATCTGCATGGACATTGTTCAGTTTGGAAGCACTCCCAAAACACATTTCTTGGATGAAATTAGATTCTAAAGTTTTTTTTTGGCCAGTGGAGTGCTCTTGTGGGAATCATGGTAAAGATTTGTTACTATGTTTCACATGCCAACACCCTTTGACCCCGCGGTTCGGCGTTTCGTCTCCCTCCCCCTCCTTTCCTTCATCTTTCTCAGGAGAGGGAAGGCTTATTTCTGGAGAATCTGGCTATGGCCATGGCCGCGCACAACTCGGGCGGCCGGGTGATGGTGCAGGTGGAACACTTAGCCCAGCGCCATTCGCTGCCTCCGAGGCGCGCCCCCCCCGAGACGAGACGAGACGACTCCGACGGTTCGCCTTTCGGCGTGGTGGGGGGGTGGTGAGCGTTGGGAGCGTTGGCGCGGTTTGGTGCGTTGCTTTGGCGCGTTGGTTTGGGTGCGGTTTTTGGAGGCTCCAAGCGTTTTCAGAGGCGAGGGTGCCCCAAGGCGAAACGGTAGCAGGTAGCAGTGGCAGCGAAGGACAAGGTTTCTGAAGGCTTCAAGGGTCTGTGTTTGGAAGGGATGTTCTACAGGAATGGTCAGTGTTATGGTCTGCTGGTCCTACTTCAGGTTGAATGATTTGATGAACGGTGGGTTCGGGGCAAGTTCTGCTGGCAGGCAAGTGAAGATTCCTGGGATCCTGGTGGACTGTGTGGTGCTGTCTAGGCCCGTCTCTTGGCGAAGCGGGTTTGGAGGAGAGAGCGACCCTACAGGGACCTGATGCGAAGGTGAAGAGATCCACATGGAACCAGATGCGGACCAGACTGGAAGACCCTTTTCCTCTACAACTCCGGGCGCCGTGGTTTTCAGGTTCGGTAGGTCTGAGAGCCCTGGAGGGCTTGGCTACGGCGGATGCGGATGCTAGCGGGAACCGGCGCGCGTGAAGCGCCAGTTGGGGGTCATGGCATCTGGAAAACCGAGCCTTTTTCGATTGAAAAGGAACAGAATAGACCGAATAGAATGACAGGGTCAACCTACCAGTGTGTTCCTTCAGCATTCTGTTTCTTCAACCCACAGGCATTTCTGTAGTGGTGGTTCAGATATGTTCAGATGGGTGAGCCAAAGCAGTTTCACTGGATTTCACTTGGCTTGCCAAACAGCAACACAGCAGGGGTTGGTACTCTTCCGTACTGTTCCTGATTTTCGGTGGGTCAGGCTGAATCCACTGGTTCTGAGCTCAGCCAAGTTCTACGTGCATCTCCGATCAAAGCCGATCCTGAGAACTCCTTTGGGCGCCGTTTTCAGGAAAAGGCCATCTTCTGGTTGAGCACAGGGGCCATTTCAGGTGCTACACATGGGGGAGACCATCTCGGATCTTCCACTTTCGGCACGACACCGACATGTGCATCATTCCACCGGTCCGCGCCCGGCTCGCAGTCTGCGCCGGTCCCGGCCGGCTCGCGCGGAAGTCGTCCGACTTTTGGCGGTGCGAGCTTCTTGGGGCAGATCGGCTGACCAGGAACACCACTGGCAGACCTTCTCGGTGCCCTATAGCCCCGCCTTTAGCCACGAGATACGCCTCGCCAGCGAAGCGCTCGTGCCCGGGACTGGGTAAGGTGGACGGGTGAGGGGGAGCGACATGGGAACGGCCCTACGAAATGAAGCCTGGCATGGATTAGCCAGGAACATGGTTCAACCTGCAATATCCTTAGCTTGGAGTGGGAATCCGCACTCAACCTGATATCGGCTTGTAACATTGTATCACAAGATCTGTCCACTGCCACTAGGTTGATCATCAACCTATAACTTCTTTCCACCGAAAGAATCCTTTTGGTGAATACTGATGGTTCATGGTCCCACTTGGCCCAGTACTTGGCCTTATAGGTTCTTTCGCCTGCCGAAGACCATTCGTCTAGGCAAGTGTGCAACAGTCGCAGCGCCGTGTCAAGGCAAGCGCACGGGGCCATCCTTGGGCACCCATTAGAATCAGAACAAATCATTTCATATCACAGCTCATATACCAGGCAGCCGGCTCAGCGCGGTTGGAGCCCCAAAACAGTACAGCAGGCTTGAAAGAATCTATTCAAATAAAGAATGGGAAGCTTCATTCCAAGAGACCTCCATCTGTGTTGTGCCTGATTTGCACCCCAGGCCCTCATCCCATCAACCTCATGTACCGATCCTCTCAGACCCCCCCAAAAACCTCCCCTAGCCTCCTCGCGGATCCGATCCTTTTGGACTCAGACTCTCCAAAACAAACACATGCCTATACCATCCTATACCTAACCTGGTCGCGACCGGGCCAACCACCCCAAATTATTGATCCAACTTCCCAAAACAGAGGTCACACATGGTCAGACTGTTTGGGTTCCAGGTACATTGACCTCCCCAAACCACGTCCGTTTCGACCTTCGACCTTCCAACCTCGACCGACCTCAGGATCCGATTGGCCTGGACGAGCGGAAGGTCATCGCACGCCGGGCCATCTTGGAGCTTCGGCCCAAGGCCCTCGTCAACGTGGGCGCCGGGATGCCCGACCGGGTGGCCATTTGGGCGGCATTGGGGATGGGGGGATGGCTTGAGTTGGGCGAGTGGGCGAGTGGATGTTGATTTGAACTGATGCTTTCAAACCGGATCCAGACTCTGGATCTGAAGACTTCTTTGATGAGTATTGATGAGTGTATACTGTATACTAGTATATGGATGAGTTCTGGTGACGTCACTTCACCTAACTCGCTGGCCAAGAGTTGCTTCTGCTGTGTTCAAAGAAAGTCTTGCGGAACTGCACCGATCCTTTGTCTCGACCGGTCCGGCCAATCCTCATTTGGTCAAGCGAACTAGTTCAGTTGATGACCTAATCCGACAAAAAAAATAGAAGACCTCTCAAAGGCTCAGAGTTCGGAGCCTCAGTTCGAAAACACCGGGTGAACTGGACCGAGGGTCGCAGTTGGTAGCAGTTGCTTCAGGGCCGAGTTCGGGTCGCGTTTGGGTCCAAGACTCGCACGGGAGAGCAGCAGCGGGTCGAGTCCTCGGCCACCGAACAGCTGTCTGGTTCTGCAGTTCGGGTTCTGACGGATACGCGTGGCCGAGTGGTTGGTGCATGTTCCTTTCCTTTTTGTTGGGAGAGCGAGCGAGCTTGCAGCAACATGCTGCTGGTTATACTATTTTTTTGTTGGACTAGAATTTCAGCTGGATGATAGATCCAAAGGTAGGATGAGACTTTCAATATAGCTAAGAGGATCTTCCAGCTTGTACCCCGCATGTTCCGCCGAAAGAAACGGACTAAGTCACCCATACCAAGAACCTTTTGTGTACCAAGACCCATGGCCATGTTGGATCCTGATAAGTAATAGAAAGGGTTCTCAACCAGAACACCCTAAGGGGTGTCTATTGATAGCCCCTTAGAGGTTAAGGGGTGTCCATTAACCACCCCTTGTGGGTCCTAGAATCATGCTAAATGTTTTTCTGATTAAGTAATAGGGTTGTAATTGGATGAGCTCCAGGATCCAACCTGAAAAGAGCGACCTTCAATCGACACTCCGTGTTCGCTCTCAGGCACGGGTCGCGCATGAGGAAGGCGTGCTGGAGCAGGTGACCATCACTTTAGAGCCAGGTGAGGCTTCAACGACGCGCCGTTGCTGGTAGGTTGGAGGCCATCGCTACTAGGGACAAGGGCCTTATTACTAGCAAGAAGCTACGCACGGCGGAGGCCTTCGCTTCTAGTCTGGAGGCGAATCGCTTGTAGCTCGGAGGCTCGCCTGAGCGGTTCGCTACTAAGCGTTCCTGAGCGCTCCCCTCCCTCTGAACAATTCCGGGCTTAACCTCCAAGCGGTCGAGTCCGGTCTGGTACCCAGTTTGCCCGGTTCGGGTCAGCGAAAACGAGCCAGTCGTGTTCTAGAGGATCCGCATGGATTGACAAAGGTTACCTTAGGGTAGCTCAAGAGTATAACATATCTCAAGGAATATACAGTCAGGGACAAACAGTTAGAAAATAAACGCAAACAATTTATTTAGATATTTCTAGCTGCATTTAAATACTTATAGCATATTTTAACTGTTTGTCCCTGATAGTACTACAATAGGCTATAATATATTCATGGGATCAATATTAGGTCATACTGAGTCATACTCCTCGAATCTCCTTGAGCTTTTCCTCTACCAACATCGATCACAAAACAACCAGCACAAAGCAACGATGTATTTACTGCACAGTAGTTCTAAGGGGGGATATCAGGTTATAAAGTAAAAAGTGACATTTGATGGCTGCACCATCCTGTCTGGGTGTCCTGGCGTGTGGAGATCCCGGTAACGTCACGGAGGGTAGTCCAGCTAGGTGACCCAGTGGCCGGATGCTCCTGCTATTGAAGATGATCTTAAAAGAAGTATAGTATATAGGTATATTGAAGACCTATACCTATCAGACTATATAGGTATATGACAAGATGCTATACCTAGGCCTATATAGTCTGATGTAGTTTATTCCGTCCTTGATCAAATGGCCGGGGAAATGCTTCTACCTGGAGTCACATGGGGTGGTGCCATGGGGCCCGGACGTTCGGAACACCCCGGGCCCCGCACCCTGTCCTCCATGATCTCCATGGAACTTCTTGTATAAAATGGTGGATTGAGAGTAATTGAGAGTAGATGGCACAATCTCCAAGTGTGGGTGCTTCAAACGGACCCCCTATTCTTTTTTCAGGACATTCTTGGGGTGCCAGTGCCATCTACTCTGAGGTTTCACGGTTTCACTTGCGTAGATCCGTCCCAGAAATCCTGTAGAGCCGTCGGGATCCACAAGAACATCACGAGTTTAGAGATAAAGGCCTGCATGATCATCCACCTGTCACTGGTAATTGGTTACCCAACCAACAACCATTTGGGGGCTTGAAATATCTCGAACATCGTTCTCCCTTTCAAGCTGCGGTCCACATGGAAAAGCCATGAAAAGCCAACAAAAAAATTAGCAAGGGTCTTCGAAGCGGGAGTTTCTGAATTCCTCTTCGTTTTGGTTGTTGGGCACCAAGGGAGATGTTCAAGAAGCCGATCTGAAAGACGAGAGAAGATGACATCATGTCATGATCATGAGAAGATGACATTCATTGACATTCGGAGGCAGTCCATGCTCGGAACCGCCAGTCGCTCTTGCGTAGTTTCAAGGCCTCAGGCCTCTTTTGGAGGTTTGACTAGTCCGACAGATCTGTCAGGGTGGCGTCGAGGCGGCGTTGGCCACCCCCGCCTGTCGCTCACTGTTTGGGCCCAGTCCCTGTCTTGTCACCGGGATGTCACGGAGTACAGCGGTGAGAAGAATCCCAGCATGGATGTGGGAGTAAGTCAGTCACGGGCACCGCAAACGGGCGGTTGACCGTCTTGGCTGAGCAGATTCCCTCTAATAAGGGATGTGAACCGAGCTCCCATGGGTTGGGTGGAACATTCGGTGCCATGACAAAAAACCAGCCTCATGGTGGTGTTTTGGGGTTCGTGCCTTGACTTCTCTTCTTCACGCAGGGGTGGTCGGCGGCATTCCTGCAAGCTCGCCCAACTTCGGCGCCGCGGTCAACGTGGACGCGCTCATCGACCAGCCATCGATGTTCGACTTCTACGACGCCCAGCCATCGCACCGGGGTCCGACGGGGCGGCGCGCATTTTGACCGGGGCGGTGGGTGGCGGGTGGATGTCAGTGGGTGGAACTGTGGGTGGATCAGAGAGGTCTTTTTGAAAGGATTGGACCATCACGATCTGATCGAAACAGGTCGCCGCTTTAGTGTCATTTGAAGATCAGAAGGCCCAAACTCTCGCCTCCGCAGGCTCCGAATCTGGAGGAAACATCGGAAACCGACCTAGGCAGCCTAGGCACCGATCGTGGCCTCCACCACATCCGTCAACGAGTTGCAACCCCTCCGTGGTTCAACCAGCACCCCCCGGTAGAATCCAACGGCTTCCCGCCCGTCGATTCTGCGCCGCGGAACCCCAACACCCACGGCTTCGTCGTCGGCTTCGTCGCTTGGGGTAGACGTCGGCCACCACGCGGTCCTGTACTTTCTGGCGTGTTGAGCACTGGACTCTTTCCGCGGTGGAGAATGCCTTCAGCACATGGGTGACTCAGTTTGTTAATACAGAAGTCTTCTATGAAGCTCCAAGACCATGATGTGTTCAATCAAGGAACCTGTCACCTACCTACAGTTCATTGTAACCTGAACAAATAGCCCTGGCTAAGCTCCAAACCGTCCCAAGAGTGTTCCTTTCCCCCGAGGATGGCGGTGGCTTGGACATGGCGTTTCTGGGCATGGCACAGGTCGACGCGGCTGGGAACGTGAACTCTTCACGCTTTGGCACCAAGCTGTCGGGCGCGGGAGGCTTCATCAATATCAGCCGCTCGTATTGCGAGCCAATGGGATGCTTTTTTCATGCTCCTCGTGAGTAGGGAGAGGTGGTCTTGTTCTTGTTGTTGTTGCTGTTGTTGTTGTTGTTGGGGGTGAGCGGGTGGAGAATCGGGGGGGTTGGAATTTGGGGTTGGTGTCTTTTGGGGGGGCTGAAATGGGCTGAAAAAAAGTGCGTGTGTGTGTATATATATATATATAGAATGATTGCTTCATGCTTTAAGCAGAGCGGACTACATTGAGCTCATTTCTGTCCCGTCAAGACAGTGATACTCGATTTCTTGCGATGTCCAAATGAGCCATTCCAGGGACGTGTGTAGGGGCAGCCGGCTGCTTGATGGAGCAGCCGATCGTGTGCTATTGCTTCAGAAGGTGGCTGAACACATCTGGGCACGACCCTTTAGGGTGGAATACATGCCCTAGGGCTCCAAGTACATCTTCAGAAGGTGGGACTGGGCTTCAGGGGTCCAACCACCTGAGGAAGTACGACTAGAGCCCCAGGGATGAGTGTCAGTGTGAGAGACAAACATCTAAGACACAGAAAAACGGTTGGGGGGCCAAGCCTTTTTTGTGAAAGAAAGGGCAGCAGAAAAGCTGGAAGCAGCTAGCTGCAGCTAGCTCTTCGTGTTTCGTCTTTTGGACATTGTTGCAACCATTGGTAGGTGGTTTCCACCAGGTTAACGCTCTCTGTCATAGTCATGGTTGGTTACCATCTATACTTCTTGTTTTGCTGAGGCCAGAATTGCAAAAAGGTCGTCTTCGTGGGCACCTTTACCTGTGATGGATTGGAAGTGTCAGTTCAAAATCAACTCACAATCCTCAAGGAGGGCACGTGCCGCAAGTTTGTGCAGCAGGTGGAGCACGTCACCTTTTCCGGTGACTATGCCACTTGCCGCACTTGCGAGATTGGAAGCCAGCAAGCTGCCCTTCTTTCTGCAAAAATATATTCCAAACACTGTGATGAATCCTATAGTTGTTCTATGTTTTTCCGTTTTTATTAAATGTTCATAGGCTCACAGGTTGTCATATATAGTGAAGACAGGGTACCGCCCCCCAATGTCACACACAGACTCTCAGCGATCCTTAGCTCAAAACCTGCGATAGACGATAGACATGAGCGAATTCATCCCCTTTTGGTACAGAGAAAAGTCGTCTTCCTTTGACCACGCCATGCGCGTCACCAGAGGGTGTGATGTGTTCGACACATCTCTGCCGGATGAATCAACCGTCGTTGCGGTGCATCCATCCCTGACCGGACTGGAAGAGACGTTGGACGAATGAGTCCATGGTCATGGGGCAGTTTATTTTTATCACAGTAAGTATTCCAGCACCTTCAAAGGGGTCACCAATGGAAGCCCCTACACTACCTAGGGATCTCCATTGGACACCCCTTTGAAGCTCCAGGTTCCCTAGCAAAAACCTGGTTTTTGTATGTGAAAACCTTTGTGTTTCATGGTTTTGAGGGCCCTGGTCTTCCAATCCGACGGTCGACCGAGACCATTCGCGGATGCTTGGAGGCTCGAGAAAGGAAGCAAGAGGTGCTCTACGTCACGGAGCGATGCGTCTTTCAACTGACCTCCAACGGCTTAGAGCTCACGGAGGTTGCCCCTGGCATCGACTTGGAGAAGGAGGTCTTGGCACATATGGACTCTTGGATGTGACTTTCCGACTGGGGTGTCAAACTTGAGAGTCCAAAGTTTGGTGTCTACCGGTTGTGTGTTACCAATTGACTGTAACAGTTATTTGTTTAGGGTCTACTACATAACCGAAGGTTAGTATTGGTCATACCCAAGGTAGACCAGACACCTTCCCTCTCTTAACCTGAATCTCACGAAAAGGACGAGACAGGTGATGATCTCTTGTGTCATTCAGAATGAGAAGGATGAGACAGGTCAACATACCTGGTGGTGTGGCATGCAAGGTCCATACACTCACCACTCCTAAATTCAAGCAGCATGTCTCCCATGAACAATTCCCATCAAATCCCATCAAGCGAACAACCTGGTCCACGATGTAGCGAACGACCTTCCAAGTCCACCTGAGCCGGACAACACATTGACCAGCCATTTTCATCCATCCAACGCACCAGGGTAGTGGTTACCCGAAGCGTTCCGACTTCCGCTCCGGTTGCCGGAAGTCCTAGGACTTCCATCCACGGATCCGGTCGCCCGGTCCGCGGTGGATGGAGCAGCGCATCTTCAGGGATGCCTTGATGCTTGGCAGGTAGTGAGTCTCTTTGTTCAAACAAACGTACTGTGAACAGATGGACTGTGATGGTTTAAAATGAAGAATGCCACGGTGAGAGTGGCGATAGTGGCAGGTTACTTTGTTTCCATGACAGTATTCTATCCAGAAAAAGGATATGCATCTGAGAGTCAGGTGCCGAAACATGCCAGAGGCGGTTGACAAGAGATGAGAAAGGATGCTTTTCTTCTGCTGTGGGGAGAGGGTCTGTCAGTTTGCGAGTCATCTTGGGATCGTTTGTTTGATGACTCGAGCCTCGCCCAGGATGGGCTTAGGCCAGATTGATGCTCGCCTTTGAAGGTGACGCGTTTGTTTTATGGACGAGTTGCACAGAAGCGGCACTTGTCGACAGAAGCGGCACTTGTCGCCGGGTTTAGAGCCATGGACGCTTGGAGGCATTTGGCCGGGGCGGGCTCGAGCTATGTAATTGGGTGACTGGGAATATGAGACATTGGGAGCTGGTGGTGGCTCGATATTATGTGAGGAATCCGCAGACACTATAACATGCTTTCAACTTGACGGTCATTGTTTTCATGAAAACGAGGTTTGATTTTCGTTTTGATTTACTCTTATACTCTTATAGCTTGAATTTCTATAGGTTCCCATGCAATGATGGCAACTAACTATCACATATGATCATATCATATGTGTTCAATCAGTGTTTTGTTACGTGGACACTCGGATCAGTTTCACTCGGGTCTGACCAGCCCTTTATGAGATAGTAGCTCATGACTCGAAGCAGAAGCTGTTCGGGTTCAACAAAAAAGTGATGGGAATGCGGAGAAGACCGAGAAACGAGGACATTCACCTTCACATCAACAGCTAGACTTTGACATTCCATGAGACGAGCAACGTGAGACCATTTGGGAAATGGGCACCTGCCTTGAGATCTTCAAAGGTCATATGGCAGGGTCATTTCGGTGTCTTCTGAAATGGGACGATGTGACAAGTGGTGATTTGTGGCCGGGACATGGGACGCGACTCGCGTCCCTTCACATCAACCATATGACTCACTTCTTCAGGCCAGAGGTGCTCTCTCTTGTTTTCGGCAGACGAGGAGGTCCCAGGGAGTGCCAGTGCCAGGAGTGCCTGGTATCAAAAGAAGCTGTATTAACATCAATCAAAATCAATCAACATCCACTATAATCATCTATAATAATAATAATCTATAATCCACTTCTCACCTCCCGATGCAGGTGATCATCTCTGAGAAAAGTGGACACTGGATTGATATTCAGAATACCTTCCTTTGGTGCGACCGATTTGGAAAAAAAACAAGAGGGTACGACATGTGGGGAACTCAACCACTATTCTTGGTGATCTCGAATGGAATGCTGGGGAAGCGAATTTCATCGTCTGTTCCTTGACTGTTGGTCTCTGGAACCAAGACCAGCCAGAACTGTTTGGCGATGTGTTCCAACCCTGGACCAGCAAGAAGTTCCTGGTTCATCTCTGTTGACCATGTTGTTTTTGGTCCCCCCTTCGTTAAAACCGCCTCGCGGTGGGAAATCCGCTGAGGTTACTCATTTGATGTGCGCGCCCCAAAGACTCGGACGCAGCCATGGGAGCAACCCATTCCGTTTGTGCGGCAAGAAAAGCTTTTGATCCGTCCGATCCGATTCGTGTAGACTCGGTGTCCGGTGGTTCTGACGAAGGTGGTTCGTTCGAGGCGACTCGGAGTGGTGTGGATCGTACATGGTGACTTCGACTACTGTACCTCCCTTCCAAAAGGCTTCCAACACGTGCAGGTTCTGTGTGTGTAGTCGCAGTTTTCGGGAGAAGTGGCGGTTTTCGCTGGGTGACGTGACGCGTGGCATGGGGAATGGTTTCGTTTACTTCGCTTCCGGTGACAGACCTCGAGATGGGTCCTGACCAGTCCGCGACGCCTTCCGTGAGTCCGGACCAACAAACGACCTGGACCTTCAAGGGGTGGTGAATGGGCACCCCGAATGACAGCGTTTCAGGGGCTTTTTTAATAGACACCCCGACAGGAGGGTCCTGGTATCTACTCTCCCTGAAACAATCATGGAAATGGATGGCATGTCCGAAAAAGAGATGCTGCACTGTTGATAGACGGTGTATATATACCGAAGACCAAACTGGGGTGAAGCCCACTTCCATGGAGGTTATGTCTTTAAGGGGACAGCTAAGCTTGAAACTTGTGCGCTTGCTCGAACAGATTTATCTTTACTTTGTGTGTTCTGTTCGTGACGGTTTGTTATATTTAAACTTTATCTATAATGTCTTCTTTGCTGTGACACAGGGGTTCTGAACTGAACATATTTCCCACAGACTCCATGTATGCAATAATGCATCCCGACATTGACCCTGTTTCAAATCTTCAAACACCCCAATGTAGCTGTGTTGGCTGTAGTGCTGTGTCATGTGCTCCCTCAAAATGAGGGCTGACATAAGCCAGCCCTTCGCGAACTTGAAGAGAAAGGTACTATACCCATACACTCCATGGGACTGCCATAGGACTGCCGCCCCAGAAAGACCCCCCTGGCACCACCACCCCTGGCCGTTTCTCGGCAGTCCTGGCAGGCAGTCCCAAACAGGTCGCGTTCGCGTCGCGTCTGGGGTACTTCTTTCACTGTCAGTCCGACCACTCGGAGTGTTTGGCTACTTCAAATGCGGAGGGTCGGAGTGTTTCAGTCCAAAGGCCCCGGCCCCGGTGTGACAAAGAGGTGGACACGTCTCGAACCTGAGGGGGCACAGGTCTGGATGCCTGGGCGACTCCAGCAGTTGGCTCTACTTGACCACGCTCCGAAGTCGGTGAAAGCCATTCTTCGGTTCTTTGCCGGTGTGTTTTGAAGACATCCCCTGAGGGTCCAGGACCATCCGAAGCGGATGGTCGAACGGAGGTGAGGCCTCGTCCTTCGAATGGTCTGACCATCCTGGGGCCTTGCAGGACATCCGAGCAACGGATGGTCCTGGACCCTTAGGGATAAGGGTTTGTGGCTGGTGATTTCGGCTTTGGTCCTGGCTTTGGCGGTTGGAACCGGTGATGGTTCTTTTTCTTGAACTGGGTGAATCCCCGCCTTCCTTTTCGGGGTTTCCGAATGAACACACAATTTAGTAAAAGCTGTTCATGGGTCTTGTGCTTTTCGGCGTGGGGCGTGGAGCATGTCTTTTTTTGGGCACCATGTCGCACCATGTCGCCTGGAGGCAAGGGCTCTTTGCCCTTCAGCGAGAACACCCGCGTGCTCTTTGATACTGCCAATGTTGGCACGCTCAGCATGGGGTGTGTTTCGGTCATTCCATCCTGATATTTGTTTTCACGCCTCTAGGGGGCGATGGTTTGGCCGGCTTCAGATCTTCTCCGGCCGTCGCTGTTTGCGGCCGCACATGTGGATCCTTCGGTGTTGGAGGGAAGTTGACAGTGATTTTGTCGGAGGATCCGAGGGGAGATGAAGAATCAGTGGCTTAAGCTTGAGCTTTCATGTGGAGTGTCCGGTGGTGAAGGTGGATCACTGTCATCTGCATGGGGGAGAAAGGAGTGCAGTGCCCGCGATAAACGGGTGAGTTGTGTGGCCGAGAAGGAGGGACGGCATGGGATTGGGCACATGGATGAGAGGTGAACAAACACATGTCAAAACTGGAAGGAGGATCGATCTCGCAGGGTAGGGGACGTTTCTGAAGCTAAGAACTTTGGTGCCCCTTTGCAGAACTCTTAGCTTGTTTGCCAAGGGGAACTCAACATGCTGAGTTTGCCGAGTTTGCAACTGACCAACCTACCAGGGGCCCTCAAAACCATGAACAACACAGGTTTTCACCTACAAACACCATGCTTTTTGCTAGGGAAAACCAGGTCTTTGGATGGGCCATGTGGGGCCCCAAGCTCACGGCCCATCAGTTGGGTTCGTGGCACTGGATTCGGATCAGCTCGCATTCGACCACCGCTGGGTGTCTGGCGTCTGGCCCTGTCTGGCTGAGGCCGCGAGTGTGGGCAACACTGAGATCGGCTGTGAGCAGCTGCTGCTGGCCTTCTGCAGCTGGCCGACACCAGGGCTGCGGCTGGTTTGGCTTAGCTAAGGTGATTTTTGGGGTTTCCCAGTTCCTGGGTGAATCCTGGAACGTTCATTGACACCTGGTCTCACCCGGCAATGGAAGTGGAGGTAGGTACATTGGGGGCTCTGGAACTTTCCTCAGGACCTCCACTCCAATTGAATATGTCCTTGGACCATGGGGTAGACTGAGACCTGCTTTTTCATGGTTCTTCTCTAAAAGCTCTTAGTTCAAGCAGGAAACATCACATCCCGCGGCGGCGAACTGGAGTGGAACTGGTTTCTTTCATGTTGCTTTCAGTAGTCTTGGAGGGTCCAATTGCCTTCTGAGAAGGTATGTGGATCCATAGGGATTTGCTTGTGCTTGCCTTGTTAATTTGCTTGCTGCCAACGGCATTGGGGCGCCTGAGGCGAGCCGCCACTGGCGCAAAGCGGAGCCATGGTGTTGCTTAAAGGCCGCGGTGTTTGACGCGCTCGGTCGCAGCCGTGGTGTTTGGCTTTGAAAAAGGAAGGCCGGGGTGGAATTGTTCTAGGATGTTTTGGATTGAGACTTTGGGGGGATTTGGAGGCCGCTCTTAGGTTGGAGGCCATCGCTAGTAGGTTGGAGGCCATCGCTTTTTTCGGTTTTTAGTAAGGCGATGTTTTGGATAATACATTGGGACATTTTAGTAATCTGAGCTTGGACCCAGCGCAGTTCGTGACGTTATCCTGCTTAGGAAAGCATGGAAGATCGTGACAGAAGCGGACCTTCAACACCTGCTTTGCTGGGGACATGGACTTCTTCTGCCTGGGCGCGCTGCGTCGATCACAGGAATCACGCCTGGGGTCCACTCGGTTGAACTCGACCCAGCTACTTTTCATGTGTCCGTTCACCCATGGCGATGCATGTCAGCACTGGGCACCTCCCTACAGATGGTCATTTGCCTTCACCAGTGAACACTCCAACCTCCCTGCTCAAGGGGGGGGCAATGGGGGGCGATCATTTCGCAGTTTTCGCTGCCACCTGCAGCATCCGTGCTCGCCGTGCTCGCGGTGCTCGCCCAGCTTGGCTGCTCGCGAGGCCTCGGGCTTTCAGGGGAGAAGTTGAAAGCGGCGGTCGAGGAGGAGCTGTGTGGCGCTTGGAGCGAAGGACACACGCTCAAGACTCACCTGGTTGTGGGTTATGACAGCCATGAGACCCCGTAAGGGGTACCCGTTCTTCATCGTTTTTTGTCGTTTCCCCACGGAAAGATCTACAGACGATCCCTAAGCGTCCAGGACCCATCCGTTGCGAGGTCCCAACACGCCAGGGCCGGTCCTCTCAGCGCGCGAACGGCTACGGTAGCTTTCACTCATCTCCGATCGACCTGAGGCCGAGTCGGATGGTCCTGGACCCTAAAGAAGATGAGACACCGAACACACACACACAGAAGAGGTTCGAGATGAGTTCGGGCTCACAACCCTAAAGATGAGACTAGACCCACACCTTTCGTTACCGGTCCTAGGGACTCGAGGTTCGATCCCTGTCGTTCGTTCGATCGGCCGTCTGGAACTGGTTCTGCCCAGACGCACTGCAGCGGACCCTCCGTCTGCGGGATCGCGACGCGTGACGCGTGACGCGAGACTTCGGGGTCCGGACCCTCCCCCAAACCCGGTGTTGAGGGATCAAAAGCGTCGGGCTGTTGGGGTGCTTCACTGTCCAAAACAGGCGTATGCTGGTATCTCAGAACCAGTCCAGGACGGCTTAGGGAAGGGATTTCCGGGGTCCGACAGGGGCGGACCGGGCCTAGGGAGGCCCAGGGCCCAAGTTTAGGGATGTTGAGGGTCCGAACACTTCTCACAGCCTGCACCGCCTGCATTTGCAGTGTTTTGATTGAGTACTCGCGGCCTTTGTTGTTCTTGAGCACGTACTCTCTGTTGGAATGATCAAACTGGATCCACCTTGCGAGATGAACCGTCCAGGTGAACGCTGACGAGCTTGTGGTTTGTGCATATTTGATAGGGTTTGGGAAGACGAGTCCTGAAAGACAAGAAGATGTGTTGGTCAAATGTGACAGTGAGCAAGAAGATGACAGAGTTGGATGTGCTGCATGACTGCTGGGGTCTCTTGATGCGGCAAATGGCCGCCCCTTTGGCGGACGAGCAGTTAGAATATGGCGTTACACAGAGCAGGGGGAAGATCGGAGACCACACGCAGTTAGAATATAAAGACGCCACGAGACGAAAAAGACATAGTTAAGAAAAAACAACTGCGGTGATTTGCAGCAAGTGAATGGAATTTGAACTGGGACTATACTGCTTAGCCTTTGCAAAACTGCAAAACTCCACTGCAGAAGCACCTGCTTCAAGTGCTCCCTCACAGACTTACAGTAAGAAGGTCCAAAAAGCTCCCGATCACCGTTGGAGGCCATTGCTCTTAGGGTGGAGGCCATTGCCATTGCTATTAGGTTGGAGGCCATCGCTCTTAAGTTGGAGGCCATCGCTGTTAGGTTGGAGGCCATCGCTATTAGGTTTGGAGGCCTAGCTTTGTCTCTGCAAGGTATCATGGTTTTGGACTACCAGTTAGAATATGTTCCCCTGCTTTCTGAAAGGCCCATATTATCTATCTGCCAGGGTCATCCCAGGGTCATCCATGGATTTTGGAAGGTTTTTTGGGGCATTATTTTAACACAGCAGGTCTGTCCTTAAATCTATGAAGGGAGTTTCTAGGATCGGACTGTTCACTGTTGACGATTCATGGTTGTTTTTTTTCCTGTGAGCATGATATCAACTCCTGCAGCTCTTGATACCTTCCTGTGCATTGTGGAGGGTCGCATAGGGTCGCTTAACGTTGTGGAGCGTTCAACTGCTTGTGCTCGATAGCACTGGGGCCAGTGTGGAGCTGTGGGCGATCATTTTGTGCGCATGGCACTTGTACAAAGTGGAAACTCAATGACCGCATGGCTGTGGGCAGCCTCCTGGACTCCGGAACCTTTTCAGAGATGTCAGTCTAGCGTGCTTGTGCGTATTTCCCGCTTGGGTCGAAACCCACTCCCTGATCATAAACATCAGTCTCAGTCTTAGTCTTAGTCTTAGACAGGGCTTTTATCTTGTAGTTGAGCGGTTGGGCCTGCCTGTGCTTGGGGTGGTCTATTGTCCGGCAGGGTTGGGAAGACGTGTCGGCCGAAGAAGAAGAGGAAGAAGACATTTTAAAGTGCTGCACCACCCAGATGCCCAAAATACTAGAAGCTATGACGAAGTTGTTCGTAGCAGTTTTACAAATAGATATATAGTTCACTCATGAATCATGCTTGGCCTTTCCCGTGAATAACCTTCCAATTCCTCCTTGATGGGCTTGACACCTTTTTGTACCTTAACATTGTGGAGTGTTCAACTGTTCGTGCTTGACAGCCTTGGCGCCAGTGTGGAGCTGCGAGCGATCAAAGATATCCAACCAACTTTGAAGATCGTTTTGTACGCATGGTGCTTCTGAAGTGGAAACTCAATGACCACAGGTGTGGAGTCCTGAGACAGTCCAGACAACTTTCAATATTCGCCACTGTTAAACATAGGACCTATTTGGTGACAAATCACGAAAGCTAGCTGTAGCTAGCTGGAGTCTGTCTTGCTAACACCTGATATACTCCCTTTGCCGTGGAACTGAACTCCACCCTTCCCCCCTGACCGTTTCTCAGTTCCCAAACGTGGCCGCTGTTGCCGATGCTGCTTCTTTGTCGCTGCTGCTGCTCCTGTTTCTATGTTTCTTTGTTGCCGGTCTTTTGCTGCTGTTGCTGCTGCTGCTTGGTGGTCTGCTACCACTGCTGCTGCTGCTGCCGCCGCTGCGAGGTGGTTTGCTACTACTGCTGCTGCTGTTGCTGCTTTGCTCCTGCTGCTGCTGTTGCTGCTGCTTGGTGGTTTGCTACTGCTGCTGCTACTGCTGCTGCGGATGCTGCTTGGTAGCTGCTGCTTGGTAGCTGCTGCTTCTGCTGCTGCTGCCTGGTACTTACTGCTGCTGCTGCTGCCTGGTACCTGCTGCTTGCTGCTGCGGTACCCGCTGCTTGCTGCTGCTGCTGCTGCTGGTTGTTGCTGCTGCTGATGCCTGGTACTTGCTGCTTGCTGCTGCTGCTGGTTTGCTGCTGCTGCTGGTTGTTGTTGCTGCTTCTGTTGCTGGCTGCCACTTGTTGCTGCTGGTTGTTGTTGTTGTGGCTGCTGCTGCTGCTGTTGCTGGGGTGGTTGTGTCTTGCCTGTGTTGGGGTTGTATTGGGGGGGGCGCTGTTGGCACTCTCCTCCTTTGCCCTCGGCCATGACATGTTGCGATTCCCGGCCAGGCGTTTGCTGCCAAAAGAACCCCAGTGGTGCTTCTCTCCCTAGCTTTCGCCACCCCTCTGGGCCACAAGTTGCGTACATTTCGCCATGGGCAAACATCGCGCGCTCATGATTCCTGGTTGGGCCTTTGCAAAAGTATCATATCAACTCCTACAGCAACGGGTTTGATATTGGTACATTCTGGACGTAGCCTAAGAAGAGGACACCTTCAATGATTTGTGTTTGTTAGCGCAAATCAGCGCAGCTGCCGAGATTGCAGTCCGCTGCTCCTTATCATAGAACATTTGCACATTGGCTGGAACTTCCGGGAGATCAAGGACAAACCGTATAGTAAAGTTGTGATGGCAACTGGACGTTCATTGCGAAATGGCGGTTTGTTTTGTGATTTTGTGTTGATTTTGATCACATACGTTTCCAGCGTTGGCCTGCGCTAGGTATCAACCAGCTGCCACATCAACAGTTCCATATTGAATATATGATATTTTTTTTTGCATCAAGTTCGGTCGGGTGCGTATATCCACATGACGGTGCGTTTCTTGGTTTTCTCCTTTTTGGCAGAATGTTTGTCATCAAGGGGGTGTTTTCTCCCCATGGTTGAACACGGACATAGTTTTATTTAAAAATACAAATAACATGATGACAACTCAGAGTGCAGCCCGGGGCGGGCCTCGTCCACACTTTGCTGAAAACCCATTTTGCCATGGATTTGCTGATGTTTAGGATGTGTATTGTTTTCCCTATGGATCAGTCTGGGGATTTATGAGTTATTCCTCAAACAAAACTAAATTTATCATTGTCAACGGGTCGGCAGATGTTCTGCATCAGGTCGGCCCCCCGTTGACGAGAGACAACTCGCTGCAGTGGGGGTCGGCTGGCTTAGTGCTTTCATTTTAGCGCTAACTTTGTGCCGTGGAGGTTTCACTGTTTTTTGTTCTCAAGGTGGTGCTGGGCTTTATATATATATATATATTGTTGTTTGTGCGCCGCACAACCCGGTAGATCAGACATTTGAACTGTGATCGCCGCGCTCGCCTCAAGCTCAGTGGCGGGTGCGCGCGCGACTTGAGCAATGGCTCACTGAAAATAGCGCGTGGCCGCGCTGACCGACTTTCGTGGACGAGGACCTCGAGAACCTCGTGACCGGTGATCGAAGCTTCGTTACCAACATTGGTAGCGGAGCGCTACCAGGGCGCTCCAAGAAGAAGAGAAGATGCCAGGACCTTCAGCCTCCGGTCCCTCTACTACCTCCTCAGCTTCAGGTGGATCCATCGAGACGATGAAGGACACCTACATCCCGGTTTTCAATAACCGAGTGGCTGACTACAAGGAGTGGAGGCAGCGCATCATTCTCTACAAGAAGAAACTGGCCCTTCAAGGAAAAGAGAAGGAAACGATCTTGAACCTTCTCACAAGCCTCAATGGCACAGCATGGAAGCAGGTCGAACACCTCGTCGATAAGGTAGCCGAGGCCTCCGACGGCTTTGAGCAAGTGCTGAAAGCATTGGATGCAGCCTTTCAGTACGATGATCGGGTAGAAATGCCCAGAGCTCTCGAGAAGTTTTTTCTATCAACTGACGAGGAGGAGCGACCAAACGCTCCTATCTTACTGCTCAGACCACAGAGAGCAGCTTCGAGAAATCGAACGCCACAACATCCGCATCCCAGACAGTGTCAGTGGCTGGATGCTTCTTCGACGGAGCAACTTGACACAAGAACAGAAGCACTTGATTCAGTCGCAGGTTGGCCCCGAGATGAAGAGGGCGAAAGTTGAAGAGGTCATGTACTACCTGCTGGGACAAGACTTCAAGTCAAGGTCAGAGCAGCCAAAGGCC